AGACTCCTAAGCTAAGAAGGGTTGTTTTCTTTGAAACTTTAGAGCCTCCGGCTCAGTCCGCCGACATTGTCCTCTCCCTTTTTTTCTCCTTCTTGCTCTCTCCCTTGTGTTCTGTCGTCCTCTCTCCCTCCCTCTGCTCCCCACCCTCCCCATCCCCCCAAGCCTCTCTCTCTTCAATCTCCCTCTCTCTGTCTCTCTCTCTCTCTCTCTCTCTCTCTCTCTCTCTCTCTCTCTCTCTCTCTCTCTCTCTCTCTCTCTCTCTCTGTTTCTCTCTCTTTCTGTCTCCCTGTCTCCTTCCTGTCCACGCCCCTCTACAGAAAAAGGGTACCCTAATTCGAACCTCTTTGCTCTCTCACTTTCTCGCTCTTTCTCTCTGTCCCTCTCTCTCTTTGTCTTTCTGTGTCTCTCTTTCTCAGTCTCTCTCTTTCTATCTCTCTCTCTCTCTGTCTGTCTCTTTCTCTGTCTCTTTCTCTTTCTCTTTCTCTGACTCTGGCTCTGTCTCTGGCTCTGTCTCTGTCTCTCTCTCTCTCTCTCACTCTCTCTCTCTCTCTCTCTCTCTGTCGCTCTTTGTGTCTCGCTCTCTCCCTCTCTCTCTCTGTCTTTTTTCTCTGCCGCTCTCTCCCTGTCTCTCTCTCTCTCTCTCTCTCTCTCTCTCTCTGCATTGCAGCGTCACGTCCCCCCTGAGTTGCCTCGATGTCCGGGCACTGCCCCTTCATGACCCTGAACTGTCATCTCACTATTCATGTCCGTTTCACGTTTCCCATGATGTCCTGGTCATATCCCTTCCATGCCTTTCAACTCCCCCTTCATGTCCCTGACATTTTCTCGGTATGTCCGCTTCATTTTCCATGCATGTCCCGTTCTTTCGTTGCGAGTCATTTCCCTACATCTCCCGTCGTGCCGATTGGTTTCCTTGTGCTTTGTTTCCCTGTCAATCCCCCTGCGCTCCCCTTGTTTTCATTTCTGTCCCTTTCATGTCCCTTTCAGTTCCCCTTTGTTTCCCTTTCATTTCACGTTGCTTTCCTGTCATGTCGACTTCCTATTTCCTCCCCTCATGTCCTTGCACTTCCTTGCATTTCTCCTTTGCTCCCCAATATTCCCGGTACGTGGGGGACCCCCCCCCCTTCAAACCCATGTATTATAGACGTTGGGCGGGGGGCGGGGTAAGGGGGGGGGGGTATCCTCTATCCTCTAGCAAGTATCCGACACGCCGAACAATGTCGGCGGATTTTAGGGAGAGGGCTATTTTCAGAAACACCCGCTTGTTTACAATAACTGTGCCACGGTTGCTGCAACACGAAGTGAGTCGGGGGGAGGGTGCTTACCGTGCTCTGCATGAGAAGTTGGGTTAGGGCCATTTTGTCTCTTTTCGGGTTTGGCTTAAAGGGTCCCCAAATTTAAGACACACCCGCTTGGCTTTGGGGGGTCGAAGCAACTTGGGGATGGGAATCAACCACTTTGGTAACAAAGCACGGGCGGCTTCTTGCATCCTGTGAGGCATTACACATGGAGCGACAACACGCAGGATGACTTCACCAACTTTGTCGCTTCGGCCAAGACCTGCGAAGTCACGGAGTGAGGATCAGGGGGGTGTAGGAAGACTAAGACTCTTCTCTTGAACATGGGCTATTTGGTTGGATCCTTAAAACTTTTTGGATGAAACAGCACGCTTTCTGGCAGGGGGGTCACTTTTGCAGATCAACATGGAACCTAAACCTATTCTCATTTATAGAGGAGACGCTTTTTGAGGGGACCCTGTTTTTCGGCTCTAGAAGAAAGTGGGGCTCCCGAAGAAGAGCTTGCCACACCCTTCGGACCGCTTCGGCTGATCCGAGGCGAAGAATTGCAGCGGGGAGGTCCAGGCTCGGGCGGTCGGACCGGGTCAAACAAGCATCAGGTGCACGGGGCGGAGTTTAATTCAACTCAGAGTAAGAGCTCCATGACCAAAGTCTTTTTTTGTTTTGAACATACCCCAAAATCGGCAGTCAAATTATGGAGCCAATCTGGTAGGTGTGTTTGCCTTTCGCTGCCTGCCCATCGTCAGAGGTTCACCGAAGATTTGGACATGGAGCACTTTCATGTTAACACCATTGGGCTCATTTTCTCATTTTCCCTTTGGAAAACCTCTGGGTGCTCCGGCCGGGGTGCACCTACCAGGAGAAAAGCTGTGGGGGGGTGGGGGGTGGTGCTATGCTGTCCTTGGTCTTGAGCGCTTGGCAAGTTCCAAGAGCTGTTTTGGGATGCGCTTTTGGTGTTTTTTTTGGTTTGCCGTGCTCCTTGGTGTGTCCCTCCAAAGGAGGAATCAGACCCCCAAGTCGGGTGTTCGTTGTTTCCGGCTGATTTGCGGTTTCTTGTCGCACCATCAAAACCCGGTACCCCTTCCCTCCTGTGCCAATGTCACGAAGCAAAACCAGATTCGCTTGTTCCATACTAGACTCCATGTTCAGGCCCCAGCACTGTGGGTGTGTCTTTTTAGAAGGCATCCTTTTGGCGGAGGGAAACCAACCACTCATCTTGGAAGAACCTCATTTGAGACAAGCCCATGGTGCCCATGCTTTCGGAGGCTTCTTGCGTCATTTTGATTAGTTATTCATGCACCCTAGCTTCATCAAATTTCTATCAAGAGAGGCGCTGCACATACAGTAGCCCCTCAAAACTATGTGATAAAACAGCAATAGATTTTGACAGGGTCTGCTTGCCTCCTTCCTTTTGGAATGCCTTTAAGAGAAAAACGATTTTTGCTCTAGAAAGTTTCAGAAGGACAAACCGACACCGAGCTGCTCATGTTCTGCGTGCGAGGTGGTCAAAGGACCGCAGAAACCGCATAGCTGTTACACAAGCAGGGTTGCTACCTTCAAAGCACCAGGCCTCAAGTTGATAGGGCTCGGTGGGTTCCTTTCACTTTGCAGGCTTATAGCAGATGTCCTGCTTCGTGTCGGAGCGCCCTCGATCAGTTCGCTAGGCCGGGTGCAGCCGGGAAGAGGTGCAGCAGCAATGGTACCTGGGGCACCAAGCTGAGCTTAGCCCCTTTGCGCGGGGCCTCAGAGTTGAAGGAACCGAGGGTCGACGGCTTGTTAGCCCGTTTTAAAGATTGGAGGCTGGGCTGAACGTGGTATATGTCCCTTGAGCGGTACATAGGCCACATACCATCCCTCCGAAAATCCTCCGCCGCGTGGAAGATCTCTTGCCAGGTTTGCAAGCGCTCCGCCCGGCTGCCGAGCCGGTGGCGGAACGTCTCTGCAGACCGCGCCTCGGCCGGGCGAGCGCCCGCCCTTCGGGGGCGGGGCTGAAGTGAAGATTACAAGCTTCCTGGAGCAAACCACCCTGGGGTTCGCTAACATCACCATTAAAGCAAAGGTTGGCTTGATATAACAATGATTTAGCTGAAGGAGTTTGATCATCCAAATTGGGTCCTTGCCATTTTTTTGATGGGGGTTGAGCTTTGGGGACTAATGTTGACCCGGATCATGTCAACCGACGCGTGCCCAAATCGGGAGGTTCTGCAAGGTTTCTTGCAAAGAGGGTGCTTCAAGCCAAAAGCAGGGTGGAACCCCCTTTTTCAAGCGTCCCTGCTTCTTTGCGGAGGCGTCCACAAGCCTCAAATTCAGCTTTCCTAACTGCCGGACAAAACCGGCGGATGGGGTATGGAGAAGACTGTTACAGGTCTAGGTCTCATCACCTTTGCCAATTGAAAGTGAAGCGTTGGGGTGATGTTCCAGGACGAGAAGGGCGGGAGGCGGAACCTCAACCTCCCACAAAATTGAGGGGTGTGTTTCCCAATTGTACCACTGTTCGCATGAGCGTGAATATGTTGCATGATTGTGCTTTGCAGAGTATTGACAAGGATATGTCACATGTCCAAAGAAAGGCGACCCAAAAAACACACTTTCCCAACATTCAAAAGGTCTCCCCATGTTAAGTTATGGGTATAATCCACAAATCCGACAACTATGGTCGCGCGCAGCCCCGAGATCACCCTGTTTTCTTCTTTTTTCCGGGGATTGCCTTTTGTATTTTTGTCTTCAAAGGATTTTTCGGGTGATTTCCAGTGGGTTTGAAGAGAATTTTGGTGGCCAAACCCAGCCCGGGCAGGGAGCCTAGGCCTTCTGTCGGAGCCGTGGGAGCGCCTCCGGGCGTCGTTCTCCGCTGTCGCAAAGCCGCCGCGACTGGACCGCTGGCCAGTTCTGAGGGCAAATGCCAAGTGAAGGTTCGCATCCTTCAAGGGCTTTTAAGTTTTTTGTTTCCTCTTCCGTTTTTTTTTGGGAGGGGGGCGCTTCTTTTCCCGCAACCCGGTGGCCCGATTTCAGGACTTCAAAGGTGCAAATGTCGGGTGCCGCCCTGAAAAGGCGACTTTTTTCAAGGCGCGCCTCGGGACCCCGTTGTGTTGCAGGACTCAGCTAGCATCTCTGTGACTTCACACACGCTGAGCTGGACGCAGGCGCCTTCGGAATGGCACTCAGCGCCTTTGAGCTTCGGGGAACACAACTCCCATGTTCGATCAGAGATGCATCGGGGCGTGGCGCGAGGGGCGCGAGATGTCATCATCCCGGTTTGGGGCAAGAGTTTTGACAGTCGCTCCCAACAAAGCTTCAAGGTTGAACAGGTGAGAAAAGGGGGCGATGCCGAAGGAGCTGTCAAGCACTCGGAGTTTGGGCTCTCAAAACGCTGGACCTTCCCAAAAGATGACCACCATGGTAGGTTGTACCACCTGGTTCAAAGTCAATGGGTGAAACGGGTGCTCGTGTCTCTCCTTCCCTTAGGCCTGCCGGGAGCGAGCCGTGCCCTGTGACGACGTCTGCGAGGGTCCGCGCTCCTCGCGCTCACGATCCGAAAGGAGCCGGGCAGTGGCAAGAAGCTGAGCTCGAGACAGGGGTTCGGTCCCGGATAAGGCCCGGAGGGGGGGGGGATGATGGACACTTAGAGTCTATTTTGCAACCTCCTTCATTTGGGGTATTGGGCGTTTGAGGGTTTGAGTCTGCAAAATAGACTCTAAGTTACTAAGTGTCCATGGCACAGGGGGGGGGCTTTCTTCCCGGAAGTGGGCGCAGCGAAAGGGCCCCGGACTCGCAATAGTCATGGGCCGAAGGATTGGGCGAGCCAACCACTTTGACCATTGCAGTGGGAGAATGGCTCTGTGGCATCGGCTTGGAATGATTCGTCTATGGTCCTTGGGTTCCAGACACAAAGGGAGCATGTCACGCGCACCAGGGGACTCGCTTGACTTTGCATGTAGGGCACACAGTGTTGTTTGTTTGTCTGTTTGTCTGTTTGTTTGTTTGTTTGTTTGTTTATTCGGGGCCCCCAAAACGGTGGTTTTCCTCTTGGTCTGACCGATGAACGACCCGAATTTCTCACCACGAAATGTGCCATTCCACAATTTTGGGTTTCATCATCCCCCTTACTTGCCAACAGAACGGGAAGGCACAATTCCCCAATTCCCTTTCTCCCTATCCCCATATCTCCAAATCCGATATGGCTTGCCCACAAAGAATGGGTGTTCGTTTGTTTTTCTTCTTTTCTTTTTCTCGGAGAACCCAGCAGCCCACCAACCTAGCGTTTTAGCCAACCACCTGCTTGAGAAGATCTTTTATTTTATCCCTAGAGTTTTGAAAAGCGGTGCCCCACTGCGATACTTTCACGTCCTCCCTCCTTGAAGTGAAGGGTAGACAATTGGTCGTTCTGCAGTGTGTGAGCTCGATGGGTGAACATGCGATTCCACGCATCATGATCCGACCCCTTAAGAATTCCTGAATTGAAATTGGCAAGTAGTGCAGAGGTGAAGAGTCTCCTGAATCCTGTTTGAAGCACAGCCCTAGTACACTGGCTCTATCCATAAAGGGATGTGGACATATGGCCTACCGCGGAGATGGTTAGCTTGCTTCTGGTTGCAGCTGGGGCCCCCTAGTGTTGACGTGCCATATGTCTAAGTCGTGCCCCTAGTGTACGCACCGCCTTTGGAAAAGCACACATGCATACATACATACATACATACAGACATACAGACATACAGACATACAGACATACGGACATACAGACATACAGACATACAGACATACAGACATACAGACATACAGACATACGGACATACAGACATACAGGCATACAGACATACAGACATACAGACATACCGACAACATGCAGACATACAGACATACAGACATACAGACATACAGACATACAGACATACAGACATACAGACATACAGACAGACAGACAGACATACATACATACATACATACATACATACATACATACATACATAGATAGATAGATACATACATACATACATACATACATACATACATACATACATACACACATACTCACATACATGCGTGCATGCATGCATGCATGCATCCAGACAGACAGACAGACAGACATACATACATACATAATAGAATAATATGTTCTAGTAAATGCTACAGTATAGTAGTAAACTATAATATGATATAATATACAAGGACATCTACTATACTAAAAATGTACAGGTTAATGTAATGTATAATCTGATGTAATATACTATGCTATGCTGTAATGTAACATAACACAATATAGTATATAAAATACACTGTATACTATCATATGATGTACTATGGTATACTATAATTTAAGATTGGCATAACCTATATATACACATAGTACATACCACTATATAAGCATAGTATATTAATAGTGATAGCAACACTGATAATTTGCTATGGTATTGCATAATGTAATATCGTATACTATGCTATTGTCAAACATAACACACGACCATATACCTAGACGATGCGCCATATATATATATATATACATATAATAATAATAATACAAATAATAATAATAATAACACTAATAATAGCAATGTAGTATTATTATTTCATAAAGTACTGGAATATACCATAAGCTGACATGATAAAACATCAGATTATTTGATATGATGTAACATGATATGCCCTTTCATTTGCCCTTCACACATTGACGTAGGAAACTAAGGGGTATGTATCAGCGGCTTGAGTGTGTTTTTTTTTTAACCATGGTGAGACACCTTCTCACTTGGGGTTAGTAGGGTTGGTCATGCGCTCCATAGGCAATTTCGACCCATTCCAGGGTTCTCAAGGAGGAACCATATGGCCCAGGAGTTTCCATCATAACCCTTGTTGGGTTGGTGAAGGAAAACAAAGGGAAGCGTATACATGACCAACCCTTCGCCGTGAGGCGATGGCTTGGACTTTCGTGGAGGCAGGCAATCGGGGTAGTTTCTTCAATTTGTCTCGGTTCATTGAACATTGGACTGGCATGGACTCGATATGCGAGCTTTCAAGGGGTTTGACAGAGACTGATCTGTGAAGGGAGAAAGAGTGAGGACTTTCCCTGTTAAGAGCATCAGCCGGTCCCAAGCGGTGTGATCACGATGTCCAGGAACTCGGTGCCAATGGTCCTGGACTCTCAGACTTGGCACCGGATGCTTTTGTTGTCTCCAAGCCTTGGTCACTTTGGAGGGTTTTGGGGACTTGTGACACATGGGACGTTTGTGAAAGCTATCCCAAGAAACTGTCCTTTTCGTTTTCGGCCCTTGGAGACGCACCTCTTTTCTTTCTTTTTTTTGTGTGCAGAGCGCTTTGCGCTTTACGTTCGGCCGCGTTCGCCCGAATCCAACGTGGATGCGTGGCCGCCGCGGGGAATGTACAAACTCGACCCGCGGAAAGGCAAACCATCTGTGTGGGGCCGCACGCCCAAAGTTGGCCGAGCCGTTTGGGCAGCCAAAAGCGGCGCTCCCATAGTTTCCGTGATGGACCTTACTTCATTTACCTGGGCCGTCTGTTTTTCCAAAAGATTGCTTATGGTGATTACTATCACCCAAGATTGAATTGATGAGGCTTGTTCTGAACTACATCAACATACCCAGACAATGCCGAAGCGATCAAGTAGTGGGAATGACCCATTTTGGCCTCGCAAGGATTTTTGCGTCAAGGGCTCACTTCAAACTAGTTTCTGGAGCTCGAAATTCGATTTTTGCGGCCATGTTTTAGTGGCAACTGTCCGTTTGAGCTGGTTCAACTGGGGTAGTAGAGCCTAAAGAGAGCTTTATGACCATGTCAGCAGAACTCAATGTGCCAACTTTGGAGCAGGACCCTCATGGGTGCTTGCCTTTTGGTGTCCCGTAACACGAAGAGACTCTCCCCCGAGGTGTTCAGATTTTTTCAGTCTGGATCCGGCTGACATTGATCTTCACCGCCTTTTTGGAGACACCAACGCAATGTTTTCGGCGACCCGCTAGAACCGCACCAAAATGAACGTTCTTCCCATCAAAATGAATGGATTCCCCATGGAGACGCCCTGGCTGACTATGGCCCCTGGGATCCCTGGCAATCGACATCATGACGGTGGACCCACGTCGCCTGCACGCACAGACTGCCCCCACACTCTAGATGCATCATATATGGGTGTGTCATTTTTGGGGAGAGCCCCCCAAAATGGTTGGTTTCAAACCACTCCAAGGGTAGCCTGTCATGAATCATCCGCCTGCCTCCATTTGCCCAAGCTCACTGAAACAAAATCGGCTCCAAGTTTGGACACCGTTAAGCCATGTTGGGCTTCCCGACCAAAAACAGGACACACGGCACATTGTCCGGTTCCTTTTGTGGGGCTCCAACCGGCTCAATTCCAGTTGGGTGTGACTCACTCCTCTTTTGGAGCTGGCCACCCTCTTTTTGTGGTTTTGAGGAAAACCACGAGGAAAACCGGTACACCATTTTTGGGGGTCCAACCGACAAACCCAGTTGGAGAGATTATAGGAGTTTGCCCCAGTTTGTGAGTTGATGCGCGTTTACCGTTATCTGTAAAACGAGTCCTTGTGCATTGACTGTCTTGAACGCAAGGCCGCAATGAAGAAACGACATGGGCATCTCTTACAAAAGGGTTACTTGGATATTGTTAGCCTGCTTAGGTTATAGGTTGTACGTTACATGCATTGGACAAGTTGTTGATGACCTTTGTGTGGTTATGACTCACAAACATGGTCCTCTTGGCATTTCCCAGCCATACACGTAGACTGATGTAGACTTTTTGTGCTGGGACCTATGACATTACCCCCCACTTTTGGCCAGGTCTGTGTCAATCCCTTTGGCTGCCCATCCCTCGAATGCGCGCGGGAACGCGCCGCCATGGGCCAAGCCAACTGCAGCTGCAAAGGCGTTAGTCGGAGGCCAAGACGCATGGTTGATCAGCCGGTCCTTTGCACGGGATTGGTTGATCAAAAGGTCCTTTACATGGGATGACCATTGGTTGGACAACCACTAACATATGATATTTCCCACGTGGGAAATGTGACCCGTCGTCATTTGGGGGCCAGGGAGATTGATCAACCCCACGGCTAGACCAGCAACCGAGGTGGGGATCACCATCTAGTCACTTACCAGCCAGCAAGAGAGCAAAATGGCAGTTTGCAATCAACAGCCAGAGGTGTCATAAACCTCCCTTAACAGAGCTATGGACCCCCCCCTTTTATTCAGGTCTTGGACTTATTGTAGATTGCAGATGCCATGCTTCAGAGGGCATTAAATGTAGAAATGGATGTAGGTTGACCTGTTAATTTTTTGCTTCAAACAAAATGCCAGAGATGGACCCTTTGGAGATCTGATTCCAATAGGAGACTCCTCGAAGGGTTGTGTGTGTGTGTGCGGAGTGGCAGATTACCCTGCCACCAGACAGTTGCAGGGGGCACGGCGCCTGATTTCCAAGCCGTGCCAACGAAGCTACGGAAATCGGGTGGAGGAGATGCTGGACGCAGCATCTTGTACCTGCTTCAGTGATTCTGAAAGTCCTTTTGGCCCCCTTGGTTGCGGCGCTGTTTGTGCTTCTTGTTCTTTCGGGTAACGTGTTCGCTGCTAGAGGGAAGCCGAGTGCATTGCGAGCCGAAACTTATGCATGAAGAACCTTATCCAAGCCGAAACTTGCCAGTTGTACTCGAAAGATTAGCACCCTCCATCTGGAGTTTAAGTGTGTACACCCCATTCGTGGGGAATCCTCGCGTGTACCCATCGTGTGACCCCGGGCCGACTCTGTCGGAAAATTTGACCTCAACGCGCTTATCATAGATCAGCGGAATTTCACATTTAACCAGGAACGAGGTTTCACTAAAGGGAAGACAGCCGTCAGATCATAGCTAAGTCTCACAATTGCTGCTGTTGGCTGCATGACCGCGTGTTGATCTGTGCTTGGCTTGAACTTGCTTTGACTTGCATCTTGTCGGATTCGATTCTCTCAAGATTGAGGTGTCGCGGTTTTGAGTTTGGTGTGCCGCCATGTCTCGACGGGATGATCGTGACAGATCCAGAACTCGGCGCAGACGGGACCGGAGTCCGTCCCCTCAATCTCGCAAAGCACGCCGACGTGAACACAATGACAATCAGGTCTCGGAGGTCATGGATTGGAACAACTTGGTATCCTGGCAACACAATTCGGGCTACAACTCCAACAATTTTCCGGTGATGCCAGGCAAGTATCAATCGATCCCAAACCCCACGCAGCAGATCCAACATTCGCCGGTCAACTACATGATGCCGGTTCCTCCAGAGCCCACGCCAGCGAAGTTCATGACGCCCGTGATGCCACCACCGGTCACTTCTTCCCAAGCTTCACCATCGCCTGGGCACCCAGCTGCGCTACCAGTCCGACCTCAGAAACCATGGCTTACACCACCGGGTGACTGGACACCTGGAGACGGCATGCTAGACATCAACCAGCTCTACAACTTCAGCCTGCCCATGACGGTTGCCAACACCCCGCACAAAAACCTGCGTGACATGTCCGGCATGGACATCCGAGACGTTCGCCTGGTTCAGGTCATTCACGGGGGCATCACTAACTGGCTACTCCGACCATTTGCTCACGGCAGATTCGTGACGTGGGAAGGCTTTCGCACTCGCACCGAGGCCCTACTTTGGAGTACCTGTTCCAAACTACTACGACGATCACAGTCGATCAACCTGCTTACTTTGGAAAAGGACCTGGCCAGCTCACTGGGGCTCAACCTTGACGACTTCAACCAGCGTATCAAAGTTCATGACCATTTGGCCAACTTTGTGCTTCAGTTTCTTCAGCAGCACCACGCGACTCTCACGCCCTCTACCCAAGCGGAAGACATGGTCAAGAAGTTCAATGATCTAAATCGAGCTCATGAGTTGCTCCAGGCTCAGTATTCGGCATCGCTACGCGCTTCGACTTCCCCTACGGTGCCAACCCAGAAGGATGATGCAGAGTTGGTTACACCACCACCGACCAATCACACACAATCTTCGTCACCGACCAGCTCCCTACCTACGGTCAGTGCAGCGGCCCTGGATGGCAAGTCGTTTGATGGCGCAGTGCAACCCAGAATCATCCAGTCTCTTCACGGACTTTCTTCACCGTCTTCCAAGCCGGCGGCGTCACAGTTGCTCACCATGCACAGCACGCCAGAGGACGTCATCAAGTACTACACATGGACTAGTGATCAACTACGCCTGTATCTCACGCAATCGCCCACTACCACTACTTTGGCGTCATTGATCAAGTGGGCCAATCACCCATCCCGTCTCAACGGCAACAAGTCCTTGGAATCCATGTCGACCCAGCTCTTTCAGGAACGCATCCCAAAAGGAGACGCACCTACGTTTGGGGCGATGGCGGCTTTGTGGGGACTGGGGCCTGGCTACCTCACCAAGCTCACTGACAAGGCGTTGTGTCACCTCATCGTGACTGCCCGCGTATTCACAAGGTGAGCAGTTACCTTCGTTCACTTATGAGCCCGGAGTGGCAGTTGTGTCATGATTGATGAACGGTTCAAAACTTGTCCGTCCTCTTCTTACTCTGCACTTGTTTGAGCATGTGCGTGTCTTTGCTTGCGTTGTGAATTGCTTGGTGCTCATTGACGCTTGCATTCCTGTCGCCGCCACATTGTAGATTTCATTGGTTGCATGTTCACCATGTTGGCTGAGCTTCGCCGCTGTGGAATCTATGATGATGTTGCACATTGGCATTCCTTAGATACTTTTCTGCACTCGTTGACAATGTTCTCTACGTGCTGGCAATACTGCTTTCCTGGACTTCCACCACCGTCGATACCAATAGATGAATATGAGTCAGTTGAGCGACTACCTTGGCTGTGCCTTATCCTGGAAGTGCTAGTTGTGGTTCGGATCGCACTTCAGATCCCGATTCACTCCATGTCGCAGTCTTACCACACTGTGGCCAACAGGTATGAACTTCACAGGTGCCGGTGCACTGCCTATCTCTTGATCAGTTTTTTGCAGCGTCTCGTTTCTCAAGACTATGGGTATGTCCCGCCGTTCTTCGAGGTTCTTCACTTCTACAAGACGTCACTGTTGTGTGAAATCATGCACTCCACTTTTGCGGATACAAGACACCTGCGATCACTACGGACACGTTTCCCGGACCTCTATGACTTCATTCAGGATCCAGGTCACCATCAACAGCCATGCGTCTACATCAGACTTTCTCCATGGCACAGTCCATAC